TTGATCATCTATATTCCCAAAAATTACTCAACTTGCATAAACTGGTAGCAAACCTTGATTTTTTTTTTCTTTCCCTCCCAAACCAGATGAGAAAATGCCCTAAAAACCCAACTTGCAATAAACTGGTAGCAAACCTTGAATTTTTATTTCTGTCCCTCAACCCAAACCCCAAGTTTGCATTGATGAGAAAATTCCCGAAAAACCTATGGCTCCCACCCTCCCTCCCTCCTCCCTCTGCCACTAGCTTTCTCTCCTTGGATATTGTTCTTTTAATACATTTTTTATCCTTTAATAGGATAACTCAAATACTTTCCAAGCATGCCTTCAAACATTTTTTGAACTATCATGCGACCTTTCTTTTGTAAAATTTTTAGGACACATTTCATCTCTCTCTCTCTCTCTCTCTCTTCTGGTAATCTCTTCTCTTTTTCCTCAGTAGTCAGTACTCTAGCTTTCTTTCCATGGAGATTGTTCTTCGTATACATCTTTTTATCCTTTTATAGGATAACTCAAAACATTTTCTAAAGCATTCCTACTTTTCCTAAACTATCATGTGACCTTCCTTTTTGAAAACTTTTAGAACATATTTCTAACACTTAAATGATTGCTCTTAAAAAGCATGGTTCCCTGAAATACCCTTTTAAGATCATTATTACATGCCCCTTAAAATATTCCTAAGCTACTTAACATACTTTATAAGGAAATGCCTTCTCCATTTTATCAAAATGACCGAGGCCACATCAAAATTCCTTGACATGTTTCTGAATCTCTAACTAAGAAAGCCGTTTACAAATTTCTTAATTATCTGTTCTAGCATTTCGCTGCACTCCATTGTTGCTGCACTTCCTTGTAGCATTGCAAATTTTTTCACACACATGCTTTCATTTTTTACTAGACGTACTTGTGAATCTTAAGAATTTAACTGCATCTATGATCTGCAACTCAACAAAATTATGGTGGTTCTGCCTACTTACCAAGAACAATTACATCCATGTTCAGTTCCTACGAACTCAAATAGGGTGAACTACAGCTTTAAAGGCCAGTATAGAAGATTACTTGGCCCTTCAATATGGTACGAAAACCTCCCATGTGTGATGATCGCTGTCCATTGACTATTGATACATGCTTGGTTTAGTGTAGTTGGTGTCCACTATAATTAGAGAAACTAGAATCTGGGTTGTAGCATTGGCCTGAGGCAATTTTGCTAATCTGTAAATACATTTCCTGGCTTGTTTTAGTATCAGTTTAGAAATTGGTGTCCCTCTGGCGTTAGAACAATATAATACAGTATCCTCATCTAAATGTTCTAGTTGTGCTAGATAACATTCTTAAAAGAAGCAGTTGTAATGACATGATGAGGTTGTAGAGATAATCAATTTTCCTCAGCTTTGACGTCTGTCATTGCTTTAAGGCTAGTTAGATTGGCGGCGAGAGTTGATCTTTGGATGTTATGCTGCAGCCCTTAGCACCATAACCACAATTCCGCAAATCAGATTGCCTTCCCGGAAGGTGTGTCTCTTTGAGAGAATCAAAAGCCTTCAAAGAATTAAAACGTATGCAAAATGTTGCAATATATTCAAACAAATGATCTCATATGATACAAGTGAGGAACTTGAAGGTTGCGGACTACCGCAACTTTGAATATGTGGAGATTTTTGGCTTCTGATTGAATGTGCATTTGAGGCATGAAAAGCCTAGGGTTGTAGTAAAGTTAGGGCTTTTAATTATTGTAGTTTCTAGCAAGTGCATGTAGTAATGATGCAGGGTGATTGGATGCAATGGGAAAGCATTGGTGACTTGTGCATGTTCCAATTATGAAATGTTAGTAGCAATCCAATTGCCAAGTCACCCCATTGATCAAAGTGAATGCTAAAGTAAATATCATTAGTAAGATATTTAAATCTAAAAATTTATGTAGTTCTTCACCAATCAAAATGATTGAATTGCACATTAGGGAGGAAACAGTTTACAAGTTACCCAAATCTCTCTGCCGAGGTCGCGATTCCCGTTCGGAATCCCGATTCGGCGATTCCGCCAAGGGATCGTCACAGAAACCGTTTTTTGGAACTTAGGAATCTAGATTCCATAAGTTAGGAATCTCGTTTCATACCTTTTTAGGAATCTCAGTCCCATTATTTGTTGAACCTCTACCTAAATGTTTCAAATCTCGATTTCAACATTTATGGAATCTTGATTCCACATGTGATGAATCTTGATTCGTTATGGTTTTGAATCTAGAATCTGCAGCATAAACTACCTCGGTTCTTGGGAGCAGGAACTGTGATTCAATCAACATAGAATTTTACTTCGACCTCCATCGTCCATAAAAACCCTGTTTGATGTCAAAATCTCTCTCTACCCACGTGTTGAAAATTCATGCCATAATGTATCCATGTGTGTGCTTGATGTTTTGACTCAATTTCTTCCCTATCACAAGGGCATAATGGGAATGCAAGCAAAAAAGAAATAATAAAAGGGTGCAGTTTGCATACGGATGCATCTGTAGGTGTAGAGGTAAGGTGCACCTTGAAATTTTATCATGGTATATAATTTTGATATAAAATGTTCTTAGGATTATCTCAAAATCTATTTTTATATCTAAGTATAAACTTTTAAATTTCAAAAATGGTTAAAATCAAGTAGATCTATAAACATATGAAAATCTTGAAATTGGACAGTGTAGATAATATGTTGTAAAATGCACTATTTCTAAGACTTAAAATCTTTTTATTTTTCATAGTTATACATTTGGATGTCGAGATGATCAATCAAAGGGTTTTTCAACATTAAAACAACCTTTTCTGATGGATTTTTCAGGGGCATTTGTAGTTCTACATTATAAGGTAGCATCCTTATATAAACTTTTTCCATAATAAAATACAAGAATAAAGAAAACAATTTGAAGTACATAGTGTCCAATTTTCTGTGTGGTTACCACTTTTTAAAGGAAATTGGAGTAGAAATCTTCATTCAATTCAAATACTTCTAATAGTGCAAATGCTTCTAATAGTGCTAGGATTGGCTCGTATCACATTTCTAATAGTGCTAGGATGAACTTCCTTTACTTTAAAGTGTAATTGGTAGCTACAACACATACAATAAATACCATGGCACAAAGAAAATCCTATTTTGTCTGTATAATATTGAAGTCAAGATCACAATTTGGAAATACATGGGATAACATTTGTATCTTTTGTAGATAGTTTCCCTAGTGGACTACTTGACCCTAAGTTCAAGAATCAATACATTGACTTCAAATCTGAGGAACCCTTCTACAAGTCTAATAATATATATTTGATATCGATTGCTTAAATAGGTTCTAAGCCGATAAAGCGTGAGATGTCGTTGATATAGGAGACTTGTTTCTATAGGGCTTTGTACTTGACTCCATAGAGTTACAAATCTCGATTGCCAGATGGGATCAACTTCATTCTACACTAATATGAATCCCGACTCCAAACCAGCAGGAATCTCGGTTCCACATACGTCAGAAAATTGATTCCAAATATGCCGGAATCTCGATTCCAAACTGGTGCGAATATCAGTTCCACATACATTGGAAACTCGATTCTTAAGATTTTAGAATCTCGATTCCCTGGGGGTTGATTTCAAGGTGGTAGAAATCTCAATTCCAAGGAGGTCAAAATCTTGATTCCATATGTGGCGGAATCTCGATTCCATTTTGGTCAATTCTCAATTTCAAAAAATAGGAATCTCGCTCGCCGTGATTCCCATTGTATGGATGTCACTTCCAAAAACAGGAATCTTCTAGCTGGCCGTGATTCTATGATTCTGATTCTTAAAATGATTCTGGTTCCCATGTGTTTCCAACAACTATGATACACACTATGTAATTACAGATTAGTATTTACAGCATAAACTTGCATGATGTGTGTACACCGATTTTATTTTGTGACTACAGAAAGAAAGCGTTATCCTCACCAAATGTTGACTCACCAATGTAAAACCCTTGAGGTCTTCCATGTTACTATTTCAAGATATGGACATAGTAAAATGTGCCATTGTGGAGTCCATGATTCAATTGTACTTGTAAATATAGTCAAATGGCTCAAGCTTTTTTGTCATTGTGGCAGCAACAAAAGGAAGTATGATGCGTCAAAAAATAAATATATGCAATAAGAAAATGACCAAGTAGCTACAAAAATAAATGATCATACCATATCTACTACGCCATAGTAACACCTTACATGTAATTATCATTTTGAAGATGAAGATTCGTTGATATTGTTCCTAAGCAAGATATGCACTTGGGCTGAACAGGACGAGAATGATGGCTTTCAGGTTATGATTATGAGTAATAGTATGCACATTATGTGATCATGATGGTGGTTTGCATTTTATGAATGTGGTGTTCTTGCTCTTTCAGTGGTTTTTTGAAACTGTTTCACTCGTTGTACCGTTGCCATGTGTTGGCAAGGAGACATAAAATGATACTCTCAGTTTGAATTATAAATTTTCTTAAGTGAGTGCCCTATGTGACAGCAGATTAAGGCAGATGTGGGTCTCCATGTTTTATTTTTTCTTTTTTCTTTTTCAGTAAATACTTGATGTGTTTCTTTTGAATAGAAAAAAAATGTTCAGTTCATTTGTCTGTGTTGTTCAAAATTGCCACATGTTTGCTTCTGGAAACTCTGAACTACCTGTTAAGAACTGATTCCTGTTGCTTTCACTTTCCCATTTTAGAGTTTCATAGTATGTAGGAACCGACTCTGAACTATCTGTTAAGAATTGATTCATGTTACTTTCACACTTCCATTAAAGAGTTTCATACTTTGAAGTGTGTTGGAACCGAGCAATGTAATTTGCTAATGCTTAAATCATAACAAATTTTCTTGAGAATTCTTATATTTGCTTGATATGTTCATATGTCTTTTGGAACTTTTCCTTTCCTTGTCCTTAATTCTAGGCCAAGCTCCATGTTGGCAACTGGTTCCCAAATTTTGTGTTTGCATTCACTAGCTTCTCCATTTATTCTACAGCAAGCTCGAAGGCAGGCGAGTATCATACCAGGACTGAACATCACTGAAGAAATGGTGGACCCCTACTCATTAACCAGGCAATTAGGAGATCAAATCTCCCTTGCTAAGGCCTTTGTTGTGATAGCAAAAGAAAGCAACAACTTGCAATTTGCATGGGAGCTCAGTGCCCAAATCCGAAACTCTCAAATCCTACTCTCCAATGTAGCAACAAGATCAAGCCCGTTAACAGCCTCTGAAGCCGAAACCTCTATTAGAGACATGTCTCTTTTGATCCACCAAGCCAAACAGCTCCATTATGACAGCGCGACAGTGATAATGAAACTCAAGGCACAAATTTCTGCACTTGAAGAACGAGTAAACTCTGCCTCTGTCCAAAGCACCACCTTTGGCCAGCTGGCTGCCGAGGCGATCCCCAAGAGCCTCTACTGCCTCGGCACCAAGCTTACGATTGAGTGGTTCAAAAACTCTAATTCTCGAAACCCTAGTTTCTCAGAGAAGAGGCTTGCTTCAAAACTCAGGGACAATAGCCTCTACCACTTTTGTGTTTTCTCCGATAACCTCCTTGCTGCCTCTGTTGTGGTCAATTCGACTGCCTTGAATGCGAACCGCCCTGATCTCATAGTCTTCCACTTGGTCACTGATGGGGTCAATTTGCCAGCCATGAAAGCTTGGTTTTCTATGAACCGATTCAAAGGAATAACTGTAGAGGTTCAAAATATAGAGGACTTCAGTTGGCTTAATGCCTCTTATGCCCCAGTTTTGAAGCAACTTCAAGACTCAGAAACTCAGTCCTACTACTTCTCCGGAACCCCAGATAGTAAAAGCCCGATAAAGTTTCGAAATCCAAAGTATCTATCGATGCTCAACCACCTAAGGTTCTATATCCCTGAGGTGTACCCTTTCCTAAAGAAGTTGGTGTTCTTAGATGATGATGTGGTGGTGCAGAAGGACCTCTCCCCCCTCTTTTCCTTGGATTTGCATGGAAATGTCAATGGTGCCGTAGAAACATGCTTAGAAACTTTCCATCGATATCACAAATACTTGAACTTCTCCCACCCTTTGATTCGAGCCCACTTTGATCCTGATGCTTGTGGTTGGGCTTTTGGGATGAATGTGTTTGATTTGGTGGAGTGGAGAGAGAGGAATGTGACAGGCATCTATCACTATTGGCAAGAGAGGAATGTGGACCGAACTCTTTGGAAGCTTGGGACTTTACCTCCTGGATTGCTTACTTTTTATGGGTTAACAGAGCCTCTGGACCCAAGATGGCATGTTCTAGGGTTAGGGTATGATCCCAATGTCGACCCTAAGGCAATTGAGAATGGGGCAGTGGTTCATTATAATGGAAATATGAAGCCTTGGCTTAAAATTGGTATGAGCAAATACAAGGGGTTGTGGGAGAAGTATGTTGGTTACTCACACCCCTTGTTGCAGCAATGTAATGTGCATTAAGCTGGGTTCGGAGAATTTGAGATTAGCGATTTTTTTCTACCATTTTTAGGGGCCTCCTTTATTTTTTTCTCATGTTCTCTTATTTAATATTTTTGGATGTGATATTTGTGGGTAATCGAGGAGCAATTGTCAGCGGCTAGATTGTATTTGATTTTGTTGGGTTGGCTACTAATTTTGGGGTGGGGCTCATTCGGTTTCTCCTTCAGTTTTTTTGAATGGCAGGCATGTGCCAAGGCAGCTCCACCATGTGTGCATGCATGCACATGTATGTGTGAGAGAGAGAGGGGCTCTGATATTCTGCTGTTTTTGAAGGTTCGAATCCATGACTTTAGATGGGTAATATCTAATGTCGATGATCCCAATGTAATAGCTAATTGAAGCTCTTTATTTAATGAATTAAATGACATGTACCATCAAGTTAAACTTGGTGTGTGGCTGGGGGCTTCAACATCAAAAGCTAACAAAACGGCAAGTTATAAGATGGGAAGATGAATCAAATAAGACATACATCATGATACAAAGTACAAGGAAATTTAATGAATTCGTTATTATCAAATGAGCTTATAGGCATACCCACTGTTGGAGCACAATTGGTCCAACAATTGTGTTCAGAATTTAAATTGGAGGCCAACAATCTAATGCAAGGATTGTAATGCAACCACATTTTTAGATAACTATGTTTGTGGTATTTGTATGATCCAAAATTTTGCACACACTCTTCATCTCAAAAATCAATCCAAAAAAAAAAAAGTTTGATTTGAACTCTAGATTTTGTCGAAATGAAATCCCTTCAACAACTAATCTAGACCATTCATTTGGTGAATATCAAGATCTTAGTTTTTACAACTTGAAAATCATTTTTTTTTTTTTTAACATTGTTCATCTAATGTTAATAAAGCCATCTAAAAAAATTAAAAACGAAAAAATCTTTGTAAGGCATTGATCTAAGTATCTTATCAAAATGGATGGCCTATGTCAATTGGGCTAAACAAATACTTTCGAAGTTGCATTTTCAAATTTTTTTTTTTTTTTGTGATTGTTCATTAGAATGGAAATAGTGCATATTTTAAAATTTGGATCAAACAAATTGCGCAAACATGGTTTTTGAAGGTTTTTGCATTATATTACTATGCAACCGTTGCATGAAATCATTGCTCTAACATGTATTTTGATAATTTTATTTATTTTAAATTATTTTAAATATTTTTATAGGTATCTAAGGTGAGATGTATGATATTCCAAATTTAGGTTTGATCCTATATGTAAAAAAAAGATATAAAAATTTAAAGTACACTTTATACCCTTACAAAATGGGATTTGATTGTAAAATATGAAATATATGATATTATTTTTTAATTTTAAAAATAAAATATTATTTTTTCTATAAATTTCACTATATTTTAAGATAGATAATAAATTTTTAAGCTAACCGGATTAATTTCATCAGTCTGATGACATTGTAATATGGGATTGTGTGGATGTTGAGGAAGTTTGCGTCAACAGACAGACTGGGGCCAAAAGAATCAGGAAAAGGTTACATAATCTTGCAACCTTATATTATGAAGTAAGGTGCATCTTAAAATTCTATAGAAAAGAGTGTTTCGACATCGAAGTACCCTTCAATTGATCATCTCAACTTTGAAATGTATGAACATGAGAGAAAGAAAAAAAACACAAAAAAAAAATGGTGCATCCTATAAAAAGTTATCTGGACCGTCTCTTTTTCAAAACTTTAAAGTGTTTATTGATCTACTAAATTTATACTATTTTTGAAATTTTAAATTTTATAACTAAAAATGAAAATAGATTTTTAAATAATCATATAGTTTCTAACACTCAAACGACATTGCTAGGCAAATTTCAGAGGTACGCCTTACTTCTATGGTATAAAGAGGCAATCTTATACAAACCACACCTAAAGAATTAAAGGTATACTAGCCTTTAAGATAAGGAATATGTCTGTGAGCTGGCCTACCTAAGGAACAGTAGATTCAGATGTAACCCAGGCAGGCAACATGATTGTTTCCTTTTTTTTAATAGAGTGTGGTTTCCATAAGGTTGCAACCTTAAACAATCCAATTAAGACACACCTCCAAATTTTATCTTAACATGTAATTTTCATGGAAATAGTTCTTAGGATTATCTGAAAATTTATTTTTATATTTAATTATAAAATTTTAAATTCTAAAAATAATTAAAATCAAGTAGATCTATAAACATATGAAAATTTTGAAAATGGATAATCTAAATAATGTGTTGCAAGATGCACTATTTTTAGGATTCAATTTTGTTTTTTTGTTTTTTATTCATACATCTTGATGTCGAGATGATCGATTGGAGAGTTTTTCAACATTAAACAACATTCTCCGATGGATTTTTGATATGCATATGTAATTCTACAATTTAAGGTTGCAATCTTATATAAACTTTTTCATTTTATTATTTTTTATAAAATATTTTGAGCTCAAATTTTGTAAAGAGGTGGTATGGATTTCGGCCCATAAATACAACACGTACAAAAAACTAAAAATAAAAATAAAAATAAATTGCGCCCACCGTTGTAGGTTAACGCAAGCCGTCAATTGCATTGATCTTGCCTGTCAAATAAACTTAAGTAACAAAAATATCAACCGGTCGTTGTAGTATAGTGGTGAGTATTCCCGCCTGTCACGCGGGTGACCCGGGTTCGATCCCCGGCAACGGCGTCAATGTTTTTATCCGCGTGCGATCGAGGGAATGCATTTTTTTTTTTTTATATCTTTTTGTTTTTTTTTTTTATCTTTTTGTTTCTTACTTTTTTTAAATTTTTTTATCTTTTTGTTTCTTACTTTTTTTAAATTTTTTTATCTTTTTGTTTCTTACTTTTTTTAAATTTTTTTATCTTTTTGTTTCTTACTTTTTACTTCTCTTTTTTTCTTTTGTTTCTTACTTTTTTAAGGGTTCTGTGTCTTTTTTTTTTAATCTTTTTGTTTCTTACTTTTTAAGGGTGTTTCTTACTCTCTTTTTTTTTATCTCTTTGTTTCTTAATTTTTTTAAGGGTGCCGTTTTTTTTTTTATGTTTTACTTCTTCTTTTTTTATCTTTTTGTTTCTTACTTTTTTAAGGGTGCGTTAATGTTTTTTTCCGCGTTCAATCAAGGAAATGCATTTTTTTTTTTTTTCTTTTTGTTTCTTACATTTTTTATCTTTTTGTTTTTTTTATATTTTTGTTTCTTACTTTTTTT